GGTGACCCCGCCGAGCGCCCGTGTCGGGGCTCATCTCAATCGCGTGCTTACCTGTCAGCCACCTCCTTCGCATTACATGGGGGGGTGTGCCATATTCGGAATTTCAGAATTCAGTAATATTACAGGTTGTGTCGTGACCAGAAAGGAAAGCCTTTCTTTGCCTTTTTTTTTGGCCTGAGAAATCAAGAAGCCAAACCAGCTTGGCACCAAAGGGAGACGGTTCCCTTCAGCCCCCAGTGAAAAATGTCCTACCCGCATCCCTCTTGCATGCATGCGGGGATGCAGGTCAAGCCTTCCCTTCGTAAGCCGAGCATTACTTGACAGGCGTTCGGGCGTTGATTTATCCCGACCTAATACTACTGAGCCAGTTGTCTGACTCACTGCCTCCAAGCAGATACCAAAAGATACTTCAAACTTTTCATAAGTTTTCATAAGTTCCCATAACATACATGGGAGAAAAGTCAGGATGCTTAGTGTGGCATAGTTATGCTGGTCCTTATTAATGCTCTAGAGTAAAATAAGATTTTAAGTCAGGATTCTCAGGAAAAAATGGTTGGACTGCATTTCCAAGTCATAAGCACTTCAATTGCATCCCCACCAGCTACAAAACCCACAGAGTATCTTTTTTTTCTGATGTAGATCAGGCTTGATTGAAAGAAAATGTTTAAATTTTACCAAGGTACTTTCCTAAACAGAGGTCTTACCGCTCCCTAAATTATTTTGGCATGTATGGCTGTGTTAATCCACTTTATCGGTGAATCCTGCAAAGCAGCACATGCTCAGCTGAAGCACTCATGGCATCAATAACATTGCTCTGGGAAAAAATTATTGGAGTTCAGATTTTCTGCCCAAACATATGTTGGTAGCTCTCCAGTTATATCTGCATAAGGTGTTATAATAAGTATTTTAAAGTCAATATAATCTCTATGTCAAGGTTTGGAGCTCAGTTTAGTTCTGTTGTCAATTCAGCATAACTGAATTCTAAATCTGGTTCGGGGATTTCAAGGGTATGTTTTGGGTGATTAGCAGGAGATGGTGATACCAGGCATGTGGGTGGGCATTTTTGGGAGGTGGGAGGGAGGAGCAGGCGAGGGTGGGGGGCCCTGCGTCCCACAGGACCACTTTTCCAAAGTGCTGCCGCGGTGACTAGTTCGGGCAGGGCAGGCCGCCTGTAAGCAGGGAGCACCACATCTGTTTTGCCAACAGCGACGGCATGGGAGCCCCCCGCGACAGCCTGCAGGCCACACTGGCGAGGTGCTTCTGCAGGGCTTGACTGGAGGCACTGTGTCCTCTTGGGCTGCATGCTAGAGCTGGAGGCTGGCTGCTCCTGCGGTGTGTCTGAAGCATGGCAGACGTACGTCTTTCTTTTCAGCCTCAGCTCCTCTCTGAAACATGAAGGAGATGCGTGGCAGCCTTGCCTCTGCAGGCTGGGCCTCTTGCCGCTCTCACAAAACAGATGAGGCAAGGGAGAACAACAGTCCGGCCTGTAACAAGGGTCATTCCTTTGCCTGAACAGTAAACTTTAAAAACTTACAATAGTTTTGCTCAGCAATTTTGGTGGCCAGTGTGGATGCTATTCTCATGAAATCATAGTCTGAAGACTCCCAGATGGGTATATGTCATGGCCCTGCAGCATATTGAGCAGGTCCTTGGTTTCTGCTGCACCCAAGTTACATTTTTCTGTGCAGCAGTTTGGCCTTTGGGGGCGTTTTTAAAGCTAAGGATAAGGAATGTGGCTGTTAGGGTGCCTGTGATACAGTGGTGACTAAAGGGCCTACAGGCATGCTGCTGGGCGATGGAGCTGATGACAAGACAGGAAGGCTCCAGAGGACAGGCACCCGGAGACACGTGGCGCATCTTGCCATGTTCCCCTTTGGGGTGACAGGTACCCAACTTTTTGGCACTTCAGTCATCTCGTAATTTTAACTAACCCAGAGCCTTGGAGGTACAGCTCTTATGGAGGTCAGTGAACTAGCAGACACTTAGTGTCAAATAACTTTGCCATCAATTAACCTTTCATTAAGGAACAGAGAACAGAAAGGCTCTATGCATGGGTCCATAGTGCACGGTAGGATCAAGCCACTATTTCTCCTTGGCACCCTGTGTCTCTGTCCGTGTTGCATTGACTGCAACATTCCTAGCAAAGCCAGGCAAAGAGGGATTTAGTCGGCACAAGCCAAGTCTTGCTCTGCACTCTACCAGGATATATAGGTGGGAAGGGAGAGAAATGAGTGCCTGAGAAGTACAGCTGT